GTAAAGAATACGAAGACACATAAAATAAGACAAAAACCATAAGGCAACATTAGGGGAGTATTCCAGGGATTACTGAAATCCTGAAATCGTCAGCATTTATTTTTTCACAGCTTTTATACCCAATATAAAACAGGGGAGGAGGTAAGAAAAGATTTTATTAACATGATACAAAAGGATAACTCACACAGTCAATGGGCTTATCACCCTGGGGCATTAAGTCCTTAGCATTCTGTCCTCTAGGCAGCAAAGGTGCTCTAGGTCAGGTATGCTGAAAACTGTCCTTCCCTAGGTGACCTCACAGTTACAAATGGAGCAGAAGTTCATTTGCATATCCTGACCACACTTCAGGATGGCATTGAACCATCTTAATTTTAAAAGAGCCAGACAAACACCTCCTGAGTTAGAAGGTACAATTATGCCCCTCAGTCTCCAAGCTCTCTGATGGGCAGGCAAGGTGGAAATGGGCCTGCATTTTTTGGCCTCCACAGACATAGCTCAGGTTGTTGAGTGTTTGCCTAGGGTATCTGAAGTCCTGAGTTCCATCCCCAACACCATATAAAACCAGGTATGACAGTGCATCTCTATAATCTCAGCACTCAGTAGGTGGAGGCATGAGGGTAAAAGAGTCAAGGTCAATCTCAAAAACTGGAGATCCCACTTTTGTTTAAAAAGCAGAGCATGGTGTTTCATGTCCCTAACCTCAACACTCAGGAGGCAGATCTCTGTGAGCTCAAGCCTAGCCTGGTATACTCAGCAAGTTCCAGGCTAGCCAGGGCTACCTTGCCTCAAAAAACAAAAAGAAAGAAGAAATGAAAAACTCTACTATAGGGAAAGTGAAAGAACTTTGAAAGCACAGAAGTAGAATCACTAAGCTGGTCTGGAAGAGGAGAATGGCTCTAAAGGCTCAGTGGGTAAACAGGAAGGTAGTCTGTAAACACAGCCAGACAAAATGGGTAAAGGGTAAGGATTAGTTTACTTTATATGTTGCTGGGACAAATACCTGACAAAATCAACTTAAGAATCAAAGGAATTATTTTGGCTCACAGCTTGAGGGGTACAATCTATATGCTGTTAGTTTTTGTCAGCTTGACATAAACTAGGGTTATCCAGGAAGAGGAAACTTCAACTGAGAAAGTGCCCTCATTGTCCTGTGGGCATTTTTTAAAATTAATGATTGATGTGGGAGGGCCCAACCCACTGTAGGTGATACCACATCTATAAGAAAGTAGCCTGAGCCAGCCAGGAAGCAGCATTCCTTCTGCCTCTACTTCAGTTTCTGCCTTCAGGTTCCCTCCTTGAGTTTCTGCACCCCGACTTTCCTTCATGATGGACTACAAGTGTCAGCTGAAATAAACCCTTTCCTCCCCAAGTTGCTTTTCATCATGGTATTTTTTTTTTTTAAATATTTATTTATTTATTATGTATACAATATTCTGTCTGTGTGTATGCATGCAGGCCAGAAGAGGGCACCAGACCTCATTACAGATGGTTGTGAGCCACCATGTGGTTGCCGGGAATTGAACTCAGGACCCTTGGAAGAGCAGGCAATGCTCTTAACCACTGAGCCATCTCTCCAGCCCTCATCATGGTATTTTTATCACAGCAACATGAAGCTAGCTGATAAAGCTTATCATGGCGGGGATGACATAGCGGCAGAAGTGGCAGGCCGCTGGTCTCATTGCATCCACAGTCAATGGAAGGAGTGGTGGATACTGACCACTTTCAGAAAGTCAGCTTACTTTCTTCTTTTTTGTTCACTCCAGAACCCCAGACTGGAACTAATAAATTGAGAAACCCACCTCAGCTGATCAATCTAGAAACTCCCTCATATGCCCAGAGGTTTGTTGTTTTCATAATTCTAAATTCTATCCAGTGACAGACAATACAAACCTGCACAGAACATAAGGATAGCGTGACAAGACTCTAAGGTAACAAAGAGCTAAGTTTTGAGTTACATAGTGGCAGAGAGGATAAAGATATGTGGGTGTGTGAGTGTGTGTGTGTGTGTGTGTGTGTGTGTATTGTGGGACAATGGCTTGTAGCCTGTCAATGGTATTTTAATAAAATGCTGATTGGCAGTAGCCAGGCAGGAAATATAGGTGGGACAGCCAGGCAGGAAGTAGAGGCAGGGGGACAAAAGAACAGGAGAATTCTGGGAAGAGGAAAGCTTGGTAAGTACGTAGTCATGACCCAGCCACAGAAGTAAGATGTGATTGCCTCGCTGAATAAGGTACCAAGCCACGTGGCTAACATAGACAAGAATAATGGGCTATATAAGGTATAAGAGTTAATAAGAAGCCTGAGCTAATGGGCTAATCAGTTTATAACTAATGTAGACCTCTGTGTGATTTCTTTGGGACTTAACGATTGTGGGAACCAGGCAGGACAGAAACCCCGACAACAATACACACACACACACACACACACACACTCACACACGTGTATGAATGTATGCATGTATGTATGTAAAGCCTGGATGAAGAATTTGGACTTCACCTGGATATTCAGTGTTTAATGGGCATAACAATACACCTAAAAGCTTAATGGTTTAAAATGGCAGTTGTTTCTGTGCTTATGATTCTGAAGATTAGAAACTGGGTTGGCGTACATGGAGCACTTTTCTGATGACAGATAGTATAAAACAGTCTCACTCATATGTAGTCAAACTTTGAGCCCTCAGCTCCCAATAATGACACAGAGGCTATTTACTAGTTATGAAAGCTTGGCCTTAGCTTAGGCTTGTTCCCAACTAGTTCTTAAAACTTAAATTAACCTTTTTATATTAATCTACATCCTGTCACATGGCTCATTACCTCTTCTCAGTACTGTATGTCTAACTTCCTCTGCATCTGGCTGGCGAATCCTCCAGCTTCAGATTCTTTTCTAGGGTTTCTGTCTCTGCACACAAGTCCCACCTATCCTTTCCTGCCCAGCTATTGGCCATTCAGCTCTTTATTAAACCAATCAGAGGGTGCCTTAGGCAGGTGAGGAAGGACAGAGTCACATCTTCACAGCAGTGTGCTCAAATATCCCACAACACTCGTATGTATACTGTGAAGATTTGTCATTCAGATTGGTTTAACAAAAAGCTGAACGATCACTAGCTAGCCAGAATTTTGTGGCAGAGAGGACACTGGGAAGAAGAAGGGTGGAGACAAGCAAGTCACCAACCAGATGCGTAGGAAGCAACATGGACATTACAAAGTAAAGGTAACCAAGCCACGTAAAAGAACATAGATTAAAAGAAAAGGGTTAAGTTATAAGAGCTAGTTAGAAATTAGTCTAAGCTATTGTCCAAGCTTTTGTAATCAATAGGAAGTCTCTGTTTGGTTATTTGGGAACAGGCAGGTGGGACAGAAACTCCGCCTATGCTCATATGCTTGCCATTTGGTGCCAGCTGGGGATGTGCTGTGTCTTTCAGGTGAGCCGGCTGGGGTTTCCTACTGTAATGACAGTGACTCAAAAGATGAGAGGAGAAACTGAGTCTTTTTCAACTTAAATTCAGAAGTTCCATGTGTTACTTCTACTACATATCATTTGAATGTATTATTTGCCCACTTGGACAAAATAATTTATAAGACCAGCCATAATGGAAGAATCAACAATGAATTTATGGTCATTTTAAACCTATTATGTTCTGGATAGTGTTGGCCTGAACCCAAAAGGTGGGTAGAGATAAATGAGATATTTAGAAAACAGAATTGGAAAATCTTGTGGGGAGGATTGCTCTTGAGGAGGAGTTCCAAGTGACTCCTAGGTCTGTGATTTGGGTGAGGAAAGAAGAACAGGTTAGGCAGAAGATGATGTCTCTGAGTCATGTCAAGGAAGAGGTGTCTTTTAGATAGCGGGTGGAGGTAGCATGAAGTAGAGAGGGTTACAGGTGAGGCTCGGGACACGTCTGACTACAGATAAAGCTTGGAAGTATCAGCTGCCAGAAGACTAAGGCATTTATCAAAGGGTCTGTATCCCAGAGCAGAGTGTTTTAGGGGTGAAACTATAATAATAACATAGTTTGTAGCTATACTTAAACCTACTAGTCTCTCCAGGACAAATCAGTAAGTCAATCTTCTGCCAAGTGTACTGTCACAGCAATTTGAAAAGCAGATATTATATTTGCTACTTATTGAAGTTACTTATTTTGCCACTTGGTTATGTGGCAGTATTGCTCTGGTGCAAAATGAGATGATGAAAAAAAATGAATTAAGTATGTATCAGGAGGCCGGGCGGTGGTGGCGCACGCCTTTAATCCCAGCACTCGGGAGGCAGAGGCAGGAGGATCTCAGTGAGTTCAAGACCAGCCTGGTCTACAAGAGTTAGTTCCAGGACAGGCTCCAAACCACAGAGAAACCCTGTCTCGAAAAACCAAAAAAAAAAAAAAAAAAAAAAAAAAAAAGTATGTATCAGGAATGCTGCAGAGGAAATTCTCTCCCTAGATTGAAAGATAAACCTAGTGGCCAAAAATGATCCTGGGGGAAAATTCTCTGGTTTTACTCCTAGACATTCAACTTTCAGAATCTCCACAAATCCCCGTTGGATGGTAATGCTACTGGGATACCTGGTTCTCACAAGGAACACCCACTGGGATATAAAAGGATATGTTGGCCAGGATCTCATCCAATCATTTATTCATTCATTCGTGCATTTGTTCAATCAATCTCATGCTGTACATCAGGAATACTGATAAACAGAAGCTATTTGGGGACTGAAAACTTCTGTAGTTGCTATTAGCTGTAAGTATCTTTCCATTTGGCTCTCAAGAAGACCTTTTGTTATCCTGCTGGCCTGTTTCAGTTTAATGAAAGACAAACAGTATTTGGTTTGGCAGCACATATATTAAGAGCAATTGTTGCTCCTGCAGAAAACCTAGGTAAAGATAAACCTAGTGGGTAGCTTACAACTATCTGTAACTCCAGTTCTGTGGGATCAGACCTCAGCTCACATCAGACACACAAGTGATGCACATAAATACATGCAAACAAAACATTCACACACATAAAACAAGTTATTCTCTACCATTTTTAAAAAAAATTGGAATGATACAGAGAAATTAACATGATCCCCGCACAATGACAGCATGCAAAACCAAAATGTTTCATATATTCATATATATATATATATATATACATGTATACATATGTGTATACATACATACACACACACATATATATATATATATGATTTTGTTTGTTTGTTTGGGTTTTTTGTTTTGTTTTTCTCTGTATAAATAGCTCTGACCGTTCTGGAACTCACTGTGTAGACCAGGCTGGCCCTGAACTCAGAGATATTATATTCCTAACAGAGCCTATCCGTCGGCGCAAAGGAATGCAATCAGATCAGATCAGATCAGATTAAACCAAATTAAATTCTTGAGTTAAATAGATGGTGGACACAGAGAGAGGGCATGGCAGGTGGAACACAGAGAGAGGGCAGAGGCAAACCCAAAACCATGTATTCCTTGTTCCGGCGGGACCTTAAATACCTTGTGGGCGTGGTCCCGACCCTCCCCGGGGAGGGGTCAGCGCTTGGCAGGCTGGGAGTTGGAGTCCAAGCTCTTGGCGGGCTGGGTGACACTTCCAAGTCAATATTACACCGCCTGCCTCTGCCTCCTGAGGACACCACTGCCCGGCTAGCTTTCCATATTTTTGACACTCATTACTTTATATATTTAAAAAATAATAGAAATAAACACACACACGCCGAGAAAGGAATGGAGTAGGGTATTGGGGGAACTGTCCAAAGGGGAAAATCCCTGTTTTTTATATTCAGGGAAACTTCAAATAAATTATCTAGGCGAATAGTAATTACAAATATGATACTTATTAATCTCCTTTGTGGCTATGACAGAGATATCACCGCTTTTCTCGGATGATATAGAGGGCAAGTTTTCTCTGCCCAGAATATCCATATGCCATTAAATTAGGAAAGGAAAATAGGCGTTCTCGTGCCCCTGGGAGACTTCCGGCAGGTGGAACCTCAGTTCCGAGCCTGCCACGGGCGTCGGTAGCGTTTAACTGGGACTCCCGCTCTAGCGACGCGCGCCTGGTTGCTAGGGGCGGCGGCGCGGGAGTCCGTGGCAGCTGCAGATGTTAGCTTCTCGTGCTTGCGGGCCTCGGTGCCAGCCCGCCGGTGGGTATGGAGCCCGAGGTGGGAGAAGGGAGTATCGGGGAGTTGGGGGCCCTCGCGCTGTCTTCGGCGGCAGCCACCTACCTGCCCGAAGCAAGGAGAGGGTTTGGGAGTGTCACCTTGCTTCCATCTTGGCGGAATCCTTCCAGGGCACATGCACATCAAAAACAAGCTTTGGCTGTTCGGATAATTGACAGCTGTAGGAGCATTTATAAACTGAAGAGCCAGAAAGAAAACAAAAACCAAGAACTGCACGCTGATTTGTCCTCAGCCTTGGGTGTTATGCCCTGGCACCGAGTGTCTGTAAATCCTTTTACTGTCGGAACCTTTTCCTTTACATTATCATAGAGAGTCTAACCAGATCATTTGAGCTTCTGCCCGTAGTCTTGTTACTCTTTGAACACTGGTGTAGATGCCTTGGTCTAAGAGAGTCTAGGTTAGATACACAAGTGAAAGAGAGATTTGGAATTTAAAAAAAATCATTTACGTGAATAGTGCCATGCTGGGAGCAAGGTGGCAAGCTGAAGTCTCATTGATAGGCGTATTTACAGGGCCAGCATAAACACAGAAAAGCTTTATTGAAAAGAGTATGTTGTAAGAACAGACAGGCATAGTGGACAGATTGTCATAGAGAGAATACACCCCCCCCTCACAGACTAGACCTTTTATATAATAGTTATAGGGAAGTTGCTCGGATAAAGAGGTAAGGGGATCTCACTACCTCATTAAGTAGTAAATTTTACAGTACTATGTGTCTTGGCTATTTGGGCAGCAACTAGGAGTCAGACTAAATATTTCTATAAGACCTCAAGTCGCTAGGACCAGGCTCCAAGTAGTTAGGGTCTGACGTTAACATATGGGAATTTGTTTTGTGTTTAATCTTTTTTATCTCTACAAATGGAATCAGAAAGCCTGGGGAAATAATATTCAGTTCACTCAGGTCTGACCTGTAACAGCAAGCCAATTCCATGGATCTCATATTTTGGGGCTGGAGAGATGGCTCAAAGGTTAAGAGCACTGACTGTTCTTCTAGAGGCCCTGAGTTCAATTCCCAGCAACCACATGGTGGCTCACAGCATCCATAATGAGATCTAGTGTCCTCTTCTGGCCTGCAAGCATACATACAGACAGAACACTGTATACATAAATAAATAAATAAATCTTTAAAAAAAAAGACCATATTTTGAGGTCTGGTCACACATACTTGTGAGGCAGGAGGATTTTTGGTTGGAAGCCAACTTGGACAATACAGTAAGATTTTGTCTTAAAAAGAAAAATACAGTCAAAACCAGAGGGTGTTGTGTTGTGCCCTTAAAGAAAAGCTTCCGGGGGCTGGAGAGATGGCTCAGTGGTTAACAGCACTGACTGTTCTTCCAGAGGTCCTGAGTTCAATTCCCAGCAACCACCTGGTGGCTCACAACCATCTGTAATGAGATCTGGGGCCCTCCTCTCGTGTGTGGGCATACATGGAGGCAGGATGTTGTATACATAATAAATAAATAAATCTTAAAAAAAGCTTCCGGCTAATGTGAGTCTTCAGTCTACTATGGCATTCCCTCATTCAGCAGATAAATGCTAAATTAATTCTCCCATCCTAGGCTGCTGCTGTGCCTGAGTCCTAGGACCCCCAAGAAGACCACCAAGGAGCCACAGTTTTGAATACAAAAGCAAGGTTTCGTTTATTAAGTACGGACTAGCACAGGTCCTCTGCCTCACAGTCTGGCACAGCAGATGGAGGGAGAAGGACCCTGTCTACTATTGTAAGGGGTTTATAAAGACAAAAACCACAAGACAGTCACAAGGTTACAGTTTCAAAATACAAAATTACATATTCTATGTCATAATTGGCTAACAATTAGGTAAAACCCAGATGTTAGTTCCTAACTGGCTATTTTTTAAAGATTTTTTATTATGTATACAATGTTCTGCCTGCACATCTGAAGAGGGCACCAGATCTCATTATAGATGGTTGTGAGCCACCATGTGGTTGGCGGGAATTGAACTCAGGACCTTTGGAAGAGCAGCCAGTGCTCTTAACCTCTAAGCCATCTCTCCAGCCCCCTAATTGGCTATTGTTATCTAAGAGGGATAGCAACAGCCCCTTGGTTACACCCTCCAGACATCTGCTGACCCTGTGCTGACCACAGGGGCTGCTTGAAATGTTGCCCAGCTGATAGGGGAAGTTGGGTGGGGAAATGGGCTGCACTCAACAACTTTATGTAACTTAGGTTTCTCCATTAGCTAATACTTCCCCTAAAGAGGGGTCCTACAGCCTTCAGCTTATCCTGGGGGCTGGCGTATAGTTCAAGGTCCCAAAAGGATATGGAATCTTTTCTGGTCTTTTAGCTGGAAGCTCAGAAACAGAAACAAACAAGACATCATTCTTCCTCTCAAGTCTGTTACATGTTTATTATATAAAAAAAATAGGTTAGTCTACACATGATGTATTGTCTACCAAGTACATATATTTTTCGTTCTCAAAAATTTCAATTGCCTTAGTGTATAATTTTTAGCCTGATTTTGATCTGTCACTCTAGTTAGGTGACATAAATGACTTGGATTAAGACACTCTAGACTCATAAATCCATCTATCTATGCTGTCTGTGTTGTTGGCTGTTTAATATGGGTCTATTATGAGCAGTGTTAATAACTGAAATTGATGGTTCTGGCAATATTACTGTTAATATTGCAGTCAGGAACTAGATCTTGCAGAGGTGCAGTGCAGGATTCTGGCCAAGAGCAGGGCCTCTGAAGCGCTGTCTGGATGCAGGTCTCAGCCCTCCGCTTGTGCATGAGTGCATTGTTTTCATCTCTGTGCTTCTCTCTTCTCACTGCAAATGGCTGTAAGGTGTAAGGAGGCCTGTGTAGTAGAGCTTGTGAATGAAGATGTGCAGAGCCCTCAGAGACCTTTCTGACACACCATAAGTCCAGCCTTCGCAGAACCAATAGTAGATTTACTGTCTGATTCCGCATGTGGGAAGTGGAAATCCACAGGAGTTGAGCAGCTTGTCTAAGGATACAGGAGAACTGTGATCCAGGCTGTCCAGTCTAGTTCATTTAATCTCATAAAAGTGCCCTTGACTATTCTGTGCTGCACTGAGTATAAATGCTCAGAAGTTATTTGAACTCTTTAAATAGAGTGGTTAAGATTGCTGCTTCTGTGTAGATGTTTGTGGTGGAAATTCTAGGCTTAAACTTGAGAGGGCTGCCAAGTTATAATTTTGAAGAACTAATGTTTCTGTGATCTCCAGATCTTTAAATAAGGGGTAATTGTTTAAAGCTCTTTGTTCACAAGTCCTATGATTCATACTTATTCAAAACAGAAAAGTTACTCTTTTCACAAAAACGTGAAATCTGAAGTAAGCAGTCTACTCTGAAGACTTTTGATGGACAGATGGACTATACTGTGAGTAAAACGAAACTGCTCACTGATGTAATTCAGTTTTTCTATTGTGCACATTCAGAAGCAGATGCGTAGCGTCTGGGATGCCCCTCGGTTGGTAAAGGGCTTGCCTGGCATGTATGAGGCTCTGGGTTCCATCCCAAGCATCGACAAACCATGCACAGGGGCAAGTACCTGTGCTCTCAGCTCTCAGGAGGTAGATGCAGGAGAACCAAAAATTCAAGGTTATCTTGGCTACATTGAGTTTGAGGCTGGGCTGAGCTACATGAGACCCTATCTCAAAACAAATAAAAACCAAATAAATGTGTAGTTAACATCATGTGATACTCTACCCCACTGATGGAAATTCAAAACTTATATACTCTTGGAAATTTGTGTGCTGTTTCTTACTGAGGAAAAACTACAGTAATGTTCTTTTCTAAGAGTATTAAAGGCCCCTTTTTACACTTGTGCTGCAGATCTCCTCGGTGCAAAACACATGCTTAGACAGAGGGGAGATTAAACTGAGCGTCCTCTTGTTAACTACAGAGATTAGGAAGGCTGTTTCCAGAGGCTGAGTGAACTACACAGATCATCAAATACAGCAGCTCACCAAGAAGATACTGTTGTTTCGGGGGTAAGTAATGCCAAGTTACCCTTCCTTAGACTCTCTCCTCAGTGAAAATACCCGATGGGAATCTAGTTTGTTTTAAATCCTTGCATAGCCTCCATGGTCTCCAGGCAGCACCTGTCAGCAGTTTTGACGGTGTTGGGCGTGAGTTAGGATGGCAGATAGGCAGCCCTGCAACTCTGTATATAAACAGTACAGATCACAAGTTTCCCAGATGCTGGCCTAGAGTCTTTCCTTTTATTGCCTATCACAGAACATCCTAGAGTGTTTGAATGGAAGGGACTGCAGGGACAGTAGTTTGCAACAAATGTTTTTGTCATACTGTGCAAGCCGTTTGGAGTACAAAAAAAAAAAAAAAAAAAAAAAAAAAAAAAGAACAGACAGTCATTTAGGAGTGTGCTGCTCCAGTAGCTAGGAAGGCTGATGCAGGAGCAGCACTGTGAGCTGGGGTGAGATGAGGCAGAGCTGGGGCCACTCTGTGGCGGCTGTGTGAATAAGAGTGTTTATCCTGGGAACATTCACCCTGTGGCAGCTGTGTGAATGTGTGAATAACAGTGTTTATCTGGCAGCTCTGTGCACAACTCTTCCTGGGGCCAGGCTGTTTGTGTCTGTGACACATGAATCCTTCAGAAATTTTTTAAGCAGTAACTGGAAGAAATGAGGACAGGCCCCTCTCATTGCCACGTTTACTCCCCCAGATCTTCAACATCTCAGGGAATAGCAGTTGAAGGACACAGGACCGGGGGTAGCTGGGTCTGGCTCCTGGTTCAGCTCCTACGATGCTGGTGCCGACCTCCTCTTCAGATTTCTCCCTTGTTCTTTGTGGCCCCAACAGCTCATGCAGGGTCACCACACGTGAAGAGATGAGATGGACATCCTTGCTTGTTTCTTTTTTCTTTTATTTCTTTTTTTTTCTTTTTGCAGTACTGGGGATCAGACCCATGTCTGATCATGCTAGGCAAGGCTTGTTCACGCCAGGCAAGTACTCTGCCACCTGCAACCACTCATGCTGCTATGCCTGCAGCCCCTAACATGAGCATCTTTGAATTCATGATTACTCTTTAGTTTTAGTTCTAGCCTTGTGAGCTGATGAAGGCAAATATAAGTAAATTTGAAAAAAAGTATTCTTCTACTCTTCTTATTCTAATATAACATCCAATACTAACATGGTGTAATTTCTAGGGCAGTTGTTCTCAAACACTTTGACCTCAGGATCTCAGGATTCTTTTTCATGCTTAAAAGTTATTGAGGATCCCAGAGACCTTTTGTTTATGTAGTTTTTTAATTGGGTTTAGATTTCTGCAATTTTCTATATTACAATAAATCTGAAAAGTTTCAAAAATATTTCCTACTTAAAACTAAAAGTAATAAAACTCTTGCAAGTACAGTATGAGAGTGTATGATTGAACTAACAGCACTTGGAAAGCAGAGGCAGGAGGATTGCAAATTCAAGGCCAGCCTGGGCTGCACAGTAAGCTCCAGGCCAGGGTATGAGACCCCGTCTCTAAAAACAAACAAAAGCCTATTGTAGGCCAGGTGTGCTGGTGCATGGCTTTAATCCCAGTGTTTGGAGACAGGGGCAGGCAGATTTCTGTGAGTTCTAAACCAGCCTGGATTGTATAGCAATCTCTAGGCTAGCCAACACTACATAAATGGCATGATTTATTAAAATTAAACGTTCCAAAAAGTTTTAGTTGGAAAAAGTTGTATTGAGCTTTTTAAAGTCTCTTTAATGTGTGATTTAAAGAGAAGACAATTGGCTTCTCATACCTACTTCATTCTGTTTGTTGTTGCAATAAAATGTATAGAGAAAAAAAGCAGGCCTCACCCTGAGGTAAAGGTAAAGGGAGGCCTTTGGGCCCTTTGAGATAGGCAGAAATGCCCCAGTGTTCTTGCTTTGAGAACTGCTGGTCTAGGTATTAACTCCATGATCTCATTAGCATTGCCTCTTTTGAGTCTCATTTTTGTTGCATAATAACCTCATGATATTGGTTGCTGCATTAGAGAAACAATGCAAAGAGATGAATAAAGACAACAAGTAAGAAAGATTATAGCTCTTAGAGTACTCAGAAAACTTAAGAAGCTTTTCTAGGGCTGGAGAGATGGCTCAGCAGGCAAGACACCGCTGCATAAGCCTGGTGACCTGAGTTCAATTCCAGAACCTGCATGAGGGTGGAAGGAAAGAAGTGACCCACAAAGTTGTCCTCTGACCTCGCTCCTTGCCCCATGTGCGTGTGTGTCAAAGAAGAATTATACAGATTGGTCATATATATGTGTGTATACATATGTATATATACATACATATATTTTATTTTCAATTACATGCTCATAATATTTAATTTATTGTGGTAAAGTACATGGAACATAAGATCTACCATTTGTGACATTTTATACATAGATGATATTGTGTAGTGGTCACTCACTGTCTAGTTGCATGACATTTTTATCACTCCCAAAGGAAACTACTCCAATTCTCCACCTCAGCTCAGCTCCTGGCAGCCACGAACCAATCTATTTATTGTCACTGTAGCTTTTTAAACTGGGTGTTTCATGTGAATGGGATCATGTATTATGTAGCTCAGTATGTCTGGTCTCTCTCTCTCTCTCTCTCTCTCTCTCTCTCTCTCTCTCTCTTTTACTTAGCATGGTGCTTTCTGGGTTCAACCATATTATATTCAATATTCAGGATTGTTTATTATCTGTGTAGGCCACATTTTGTTTATGTATCCATGTATACATCTACTGTTTCTCTCTCTCTCTCTCTCTCTCTCTCTCTCTCTCTCTCTCTCTCTCTCTCTCTCTCTCTCTCTCTCTCTCTCTAAGACAGAGTTTCACTGTTTAGCTCTGGCTGGAACTCTCAATGTAGACCAGGCTGGCCTTGAACTCACAGACATCTGCCTGCCTTTGCTTCCTACTGTTGGGATTAAAAGCATGTGCTGTTATGCCTTGCTTGAAGAAATGTGTTTGTCTCTCAGCTGTTGTGAGCAGTGTTTGGTGAGCAAGTGTCCACCAACTTTTGTTTAAATACCTATTGTCAATTTTTAAATTTATTTATTTTATGTGTATAAATGTTTTGCCTAAATGTGCATGCCTGGTACCCACAGAGGTCAGAAGCAGGCATCAGATCTCTTGGAACTATAGGTTTTTGGTTTTTCTTTTCTCTGTGTGTGTCTGTGTGTGTGTGTGTCTGTGTGTGTGTGTGTGTTACTGGGGATCAATCCCAGGCATCATGCATGCTAGACAAGCTCTCTATTTTACCACAAAAGCACATATCCAGGCCTCAGTTTAGTATTTTTAGAAAAAAAATTAATTTATCTTTTTAATTAGTTCATAACAAAATTATACATATTAATATAATATACATTGCTAATAAAAATTTATAGTACATAGTATTTAAATCAGTTTAAAAATAATTGCTGGGCTGGGAAACTAGCTCAGTTGGTATGTGCTTGACATACAAGCACGAGGACCCAAGTTGAGTATGCAGCTCCTACACGAGAACCTGGCTATGCTGGCAGTTGCATGCAGTCCCAGCGCTGGGGAGATGGACACAGGGAGATCTCTGTGGCTCACTGTCCAGCCAGCCCTGCCTAATGAGCTGAAAGTCTCTGTGAGAGACCCTGACTCAAAAAGCAAAGTAGGTGTCTCCTGAGAAATGGCATCTAAGGTTGGGGTGTCACACTCTGGCTTCCACATACATACACACATGTTCACATGTACCAGCACATGTGAGCATTCATGTACACAAAAATGCATGCGTAAAATAATTTTTAGTGTTTTTGAACATTAGTTTTGATTTGTTTATGTGCTGAACCTATATCGACAGCTGTAGTCCCAAGAGAATGAAGCAGGACAAGGGAAAACATCAAAGGCACATAGTTAATCTCTTTTGAAAAAAATACATCACACACACAAAGAAAGAAAAGAAAGAAGGAAAGAGGAAGGAAAATGTTAGCTTAATCACACTACTAATGTTGGACCTAATGAAATTCGGCGTGTGTGGTCTCTCCATTCCACAGGGAACACGCTTCCCAGCGACTGCGAGGGATGCCGCTGCCCAGATGCCAACTGAAGCCACCAGCTCTTCCTCAGGTTTTCCGTAGACTCTGGGCTGTGATGGGGAAACTGCAGAGCAAACTCAGACACAGCACTTACAAGTACAGGTAGATCGCATCTCAGGGTCCCCAGTTTACACTTCTTCACAATTCTCTGCTAAGGACAAAAGGCGAGTATTGGTGACCTTCCCTCCCACTTGGTTCTGTATACTGGTTTAGGTAAGAAGTGGTCACCTCACCAGTGAGTACCTGCAGCACACACTCTGGGGCTTCGAATCCTTGGGAGTCCTCTCTGATGAGAGCAAAGACTCCTTGCCTCAAAATTCCCCTTCATCAGATTTCAATAACCCTGGGTGTTTCCCAAATACACAGCACTGTTTATTTCTGGACATTCCCCAAACAGTGGGTCTCTTTTCTGCCTCATTTTCCGTCCTTTCTGCAGCAGGCCTGACGGACGTATAGAAGAGGGAGTCCAGACTAAAGCATCCCAGGAGTACAGCCCTGCTCACGTGGATTCTGTCTCTGTGGTTGCCACTCTGAGCTCAGACCTGTGTGTCTCTGGAGGAAAAGACAAGGTGAAGTTTCCATTTCTTCCCAAGAAACCAGCTCACTGTAGGAGATGAGATGTCCCGAGAGTCGAACAGTGCATTTCTGCACTGCAGCAGGGCTCCCGCGGCTCTGCCACTTCCTACTACTGTAGGCAAGTCCGACGTCCTAGTCTGTTACCTGGGTAAACAGTAATGCCCGTGTTCTAAGACAGCGTGAGGATTCAGTGAGAGCCTCGGCCGATGCCAGGCCATCTGCATGCCTTGTAAGTGGGGGAGTTACTATTCCACCCACCTCATTCTTAACAGTAGGACTCAGACTATGGAATCAGCAAAAAATTTTCTGGTTGCTTTATGTTTTGTTTTCAAAAAGTCACACTGGTATTCACTGCCTTTTTATTTTGGTCTTTCCTGTTGCCATCATCCCGGACTTAACTGCTTTCTCTCCCTGCATTAAGAGCTGTCTTGTCACTCACTGCTGGCAGCTGCAGCTGCAGTACACTGCTGATTCTTCCTTGAAGGAAATGCTACTAATAATGTCCTTATTCCCAGTAGACTTTCAGAATCATTCAATTTCATTTGCAAACTGTATTTCAAATTTATGAGATACATTTACCTTGGATGTCATTACTTCAAATCAGGATATATTTGAGTATCAATACTCCATTAGTAATGTGATGTCTCTCTTTTGTTTTTCGAGACAGGGTTTCTCTTTGTGGCCTCGAATTCATAGAGATCCACCTGCCTCTGCTTCCTGATTAAAGGCGTGTGCCACCACCACCCAGCAGCAATGTCTTGTCTTGATGTCTATATTATTTTAGTTATGAGGTCTCTTGAGTTATGGGTTCCCTTCTCACAGCTGTGAGAAGGCAGCAGGGCAAGGACCAGCTCTTCTGTTGTGGGGACTGGGGAGCTGATAGGTCAAGAGTCACAGCGAGCGGCTGGAGCCGTGAAGTACTTGCTCCTGTCTCTGTAGCAGACACTCAGCAAGGAAATACTTAAAGCTTCTGCTCAGAGGCAGCGTGGTGTTTCCACCTGTAACCCCATGTCTCTGCAGACCGCTGTGCCAGGAGTCAGTGTGGTGCTGCCACCTGTAACCCCATGTCTCTGCAGACCGCTGTGCTCAGAGGCAGCGTGGTGTTTCCACCTGTAACCCCATGTCTCTGCAGACTGCTGTGGCCTATAATTGGAAAACTGGACACGTGGTGAAAAGGTTCAGAGGGCATGAGCGGGAAATCACTAAGGTAAGCGTCAAATGCTTATTCTGGAGGGAACTAAGGAGTGAACAAAGACGTCAAGAGCTGTAGCTGTTAAGGGCTGTATATTTAGTCTGAAGGAAAATTGCAGAGGCCTCCTCTGATGCTAGAAGAGCAGAATGAATAATTTCAAATATGAAATTAGCCAAATACCTAGCAGAGGCGTAGTAAAAACTTGCCACAGTACACATAGAGTAGAATATCAGCCAGTCTTTTCTTCCCCCAAGACAGGGTTTGACTGTGTAACCCTGGCTTTCCTGGAACTTGATCTGTAGACCAGGCTAACGTCAAACTCACAGAAGTCTGCCTGCCTCTGCCTCCCTAGTGCTAGAATTAAAGATGTGCACCACCACTGAGCTCACTCAGTCTTCAAAAGGAACAAAAGAGGCTGGGGAGATGACTCAGTAGTTAAGAGCACTGCTGCTCTTCCAGAGGACCTGGGTTCAGTTCCCAGCACCTACATGGCAGCTCACAACTGTCTGTGATTCCAGTTCCAGGGGACCTGACACCCGTGGCAGAATACCCAATGTATTAAATAAAAATTAAAAAATTAAAAAAATTAAAAAATTTTAGAGGAATGAAATTCTGGGATTGGGTATGTAGATTGGGTAAAGCCTAGCATGGTGAAGCCCTGGATTGGATCCAGGACTGAAAAGAAAGGTGGCACTCTGACATGTGTTACTTACACAGTGGTAGTACTGGAAGCTTGTTTAGTGAAAGAAGCTAGGCAGAAGCAGTGTGGCGTGACTGACATGAGGCCGTGAGGCACTGGTGAGCAGGCAGGCGGGGCTGCACTGTAAGGCCATGGAAGTTGTGTCGTTGGAGATTGTTGGTGTTTGCACAACAGTGTGAATATATTTGCTGCCACTGAGCTGTAAGCTTAAAGTGGTCATTTCTGTAACACACACGTGCACATGCACACACATACAGATAATTAAAAATAAATCCACCGAGCTGTAAGCTTAAAGTGGTCATTTCTGTAACACGTGCACACACACACATACAGATAATTAAAAATAAATCTTTTCTTTTTCTTAAGAGAAACAAATTACCCCGGTCTACATAGTGAGTTCCAGGACAGCCAGAGCTACACAGAGAAACCTTGTTTAGAAAAAACAAACCAGAACAATACAAAACAAACAAAAGAAAAACAAAAGAAAGAAATAAAAATAAGAAATGTATATGTGGGGAGGAGTTTACAAGGCCATCTGCTGTTCTGAAGTCCTGTCTAACGTGCACACCTGAGCTGCTTCTGTTTTTATTTGTTCTCCAAGCAGATAGCCTGTATTCCCAAATCAAACCAGTTTTTCAGCGCCTCTCGAGACAAGAGCGTCCTGATGTGGGACCTGCAGGGCTCCTCCCAGCCCAGGCAGGAGCTGTCTGGCCATGCCATGGTGGTCACTGGCTTGGCTGTGAGTCCAGACTCATCACAGCTGTGCACCGGCTCTCGCGACAACAGCCTGCTTCTGTGGGATGTGGGGACTGGACAGTGTGTGCAGAGAGCGTCTGTCTCCAGGAACCTGGTACCTGTAGGACAAGATGGTGGAAGGGGTGTGGTGTGAGGGAAGCGAGCTGGGGCTGCAGCTCATAGCAGAGAGAGTATGTCTACCAAGGCAGAGGGGGCTTGGGTTCAATTGAGAGGTGGCGTCTGGGAGTAAAGAGGGGAGGAAGAAGGAGAAAAGAGAGTGGTACCCTCCTCATTCATTTCTTCCAGCATGCGGTTAGCATAATTTGGGTGGGCACTGCTCGGAATAGAAGTATAACCAAGTACCTTATGTGTACAGAATGTGACACCCAATGGCTGCTTGCCCCTTTGAGTATGTAGAATCATGCAGAGAAGTCAGTGTGCCCTTTGCTTGATGCAACTCACTGTGTGACAGTGAGTGCTGTAGACTTTGCACAGCCTTGGGCCCTGTCTCAGCTGCCTTCCACACTTGTGTTTGTATGGGTTTTTTTCTTTTCCCCATGCTGGGGGTTGAACCCTTAGCCTTGTATGTGCTCAGCAAGCACGCTAACCTGTGCTCCCAGCCCTGCCTTCAAACCACAGGCCTGTCACTTAGTATTGTGCTGTTTGTGCCTAGATTCTAAATATCTCCATTTATAAAATGGGAGTTATGTCACTAGGCAAGACTCTTTCTCTTTGGGTGACTGAATGGCTAAAATATAACACAAAGCCCCTGTCGCTGTGCTTGACGCATGGCAGGTGTTCCTCAGAGTCTAGTCACCTGCTGTGCTGGGGCTGATGACATCAGCTCAGATGGCGGATGTGCTTCCTAATCATCCACATTTGTCAGGACACTGCTGGGAAAAGGACAATTCTGCTACCCTGGGCTGTTTGGAAACCTGTTCATGCCCGTCCAGTCAGGGCTGCAAGGCCAGGATTACTCTTAGGAACCCCTGAGGTGTTACAGAAGAGTTCAGGGGACTCATCGCTGCCAGCTGGGGTGAACCACAGCTAACCACAAGGCCTGCCCGCTGGTACCTTTGCCCCTGAGAACTGAGGAGATAGAGGCGGAGGAGGACTGACCAGCAGCTGTGGACGATGACCCTGCTAACCCAGGCTCAGGAGCACAGAATCCTTGAGAGGGGATGGGAGGCGGAGTTGCAGCAGAGGAATGACTTGATGGGAGACTTGCCTTTCTCCAGGTCACTCACCTGTGCTGGGTCCCCAGAGAGCCATATGTACTCCAGTCCTCTGAGGATAAGACCATCAGGTGGGCTACTGAGCCGCTGTCTCCATTCTGCGTCTTCATGAGGGCTGGCTTCCCTTCACTCCTATCTGCCAGTGTGACCCTGACCTGGAGCATATGGGAACAGAGTGAAGGGCAAGGTTAGGTCAGGCTAAGGTCCTACTCGGAGCAGTGTGAAGCAGCTGACCTCGCTCCTTCCAGTGCGTGGCTTCTTCAGATCAGCCTCGACCCCACCTGCTCCCTGTCCTGCTGGCATGCCCTGCATGATTCTTGGGATTTCCAGGCACCTAGCCAGAGCCTTCCTGGGAAGGAAGGGTCAGAATCTAAATCTGGGGGCAGGGATCAGATTAAGTCAGGAGTTTACAAACTGGGGAGCATGCCTCAAAATTCTGTCTCTCCAAAAAGACTTTTACTATAAAATAGGAGGAAGGAGATAGGAGGAAACAATGAGATGAGAGGCTATGCAAAGCTCTCCCCTGGACTCCAAGGCCACGGCCAGCAGGGCAGCCTCAGCCCGGAACCGTTCTGAAGTGTGGCGATACTCTAGTAAGGATCCTGTAGCGGTGGCTCAGGAGGCTGGGGAGTCTGGCTGCCTGGACTGCATGTAAGACCTGTTTCAAAACAGCCACAAAGGATCTTTTCAAAAATTCCTGGTATAAACACAAAAATAGCCTTTAGTCCATTATACAGTGTCCTAAAAGATCAAATGAACTTGTATAAGTAAGATGTGTGTTCTAGCCAGGTTGTGTTGGCACACGCCTTTAATCTCAGCATTAGGGAGGCAGAGGCAGGCAAATCTCTGAGTTCCAGGCAAGCCTAGTCTACAGATGAGTCCAGGACATCCAGGATTACACAGGGAAATCCTGTCTCTAAAACAACACACAAACAAAAAAAATGTGTGCTCTAAAGTCTCCGTGTAAAGGTGTAAGATGGCTCAGCAGATAGAGGCACCTGCTGCCAAGCCTGACAGCCTTAGTTCAGTCCCTGGAACCCATACACATTGCTGTGGTATGTACACCCGCTCCCCCTAAAAAGTGATTTTTTAAAAAAATAAAAGCCCATATGACTTGATTTCAAAACAGAAAGAATCAATATGGCGTTGATTTGGTTTCTTCCTGTCAGCTTTAGAGTTTGTCAGATTGTGCCATTCTGTCTGTCTGGCGACAAAGAGTCAAGCTTTTCCTGTTAGTGAGTTCACGGTTACATTTTTGTGCCATTTACTACAAGGTCGCTTTCTGCTTCTCATTCCTTTCAGATTGTGGGATAGTCGGGGGCTTCAGGTGGCTCATGTGTTTCCCACAAAGCAGCACATCCAGACCCACTGTGACGTCAGCGTGGATGGACACACATGTATCTCTTGCAGCAGCGGCTTTGGGGGTGAAGGCTGTGAAGCCACGGTAAGAGCCCATAGTGATGAGCAGGCTGCTTTGGTCTCGCTCCCCTCCTGGGCTCTGTGACAGCACTGGCCTGCTCCAAGTGCAGACTGTCAGTCACCCCTGTGCCTTCCAGAGGCTTCCTTTAAGAAGCCTCTGTTAGTGGGCAGTAGTGGTGCACGCCTTTAATCCCATTATGTGGGAGGCAGAGAGAGAGAGAGAGAGAGAGAGAGAGAGAGAGAGAGAGAGAGAGAGAGACAGACAGACAGACAGACAGACAGACAGACTGGTGGATCTTCCTGAGTTTGAGACCAGCCTGTTCTGTAGAACGAATTCCAGGATAGATTCCAAACCTACAGAGAAACCCTGTCTTGAAAGCCATAAAAAAAAAAAACACAAAACCACAAAAACATAAGCACACACACATACACACACACCATCTGTTAACCTGGGTATGTCTGAATTGGTAATAGACAAGAGGAACAGGATGGGGTTAAGTAGAGAAGGGCGAAGGGCTCAACAGAGCAGCCTGCTGATGTCCTTGCTCCTAGTGGAGCCTACATAGGTAGGACATGCTCTTTGTATATGTGGCCATGCTAACAGAAGCTCAGCTCTTTCAGGGAACTGTGGAGCTCCACAATTGGTCCAGGGCCCACCACACCCTCCTTGCCGATACACTCTTCAGGTCTCTCCAGAGTTCCTAGATTCATAATTGGGGGTTATCAGTTAAAAGAATTATCTAGAATTCTCTGTTCCAGATGAGGGAGTTGTGTTTCTGAGTTACTGGGTATGTACGCCATGTCAGGTATCCAAGTAAGCATGGATAATTTCATTTAATCCCTGAGACGAGCTCGTGAGTTAGGTGCTGTTTCAATACCTGATTTACAGTTAAGGAACGGAGGCATAACGAGTTGGAGTTTCTTAGAAAGGGTAGATGAGGATGCTGCTGTCCAAGCTGGCGGATAACAGGATCTCCTGTGACCCCACTGTTTTCACACACCATTCAGTTTTCTCTCCTTCCGGGTGTGGTGTGATGTGTGTCAGTACACCTGGGACTGACCGGGCTGTTGCTTCCTTTGTCAGAGGCACTAGATACCTTACTGTATGGTCCCCATGGGACCCAAGATGCCGGGAGGCAGCTCTCTAAGTTGCCATGGAGAACAAGACACCCCATACTGTTCCATCACCCCACAGCACTGTGAGCTCTACTCCCCTAGCCATGGAAAAGGCGCGCCCTTCCTCCACAGCCATAGCTAGTGTTGTCTGAGGCATAGTTGGCTGTGGTGGATGAGATAAGGGCTCCGCCTGCTTTCTGAATTCATGAGTGGAAGGGAGCAGTGGGTCATGGGGAATGGGAAGATGAATATTAGTGACACATGAGCATCTCTGTGTGTGAGCTATCTGGTGTCATTACTTTGCAGTTGTGGGACCTAAGGCAGACAAGAGACAGAATGTGTGAGTATAAGGGGCACTTCCAGACAGTTGCATCCTGTGTCTTTCTACCCAAATCCATGGCCTTGGTGCCTATGATTGCTACCTCAGCTCATGACTCCACAGTGAAGATTTGGAACCAAGACACTGGAGGTAAGCAGTCTTCTCTCTGTGCTTTTCAAAAGCTAAGCGCAGCCTGGAGACACTTCCCATTGCTCACTGTTTTCAAAGCCACCTGTGTCCTGACACTGTATGGTCTCCTTGTAGTTAAGAGGTGAGACACAAAGTGCCCACATCTGTTCAGCGTCTGTCTCTAAGCCAGCACCATGCCTCCACATGCCATGATGTAGAGTTATTCCTGAGACCTCAGAGACAACATGTTTGGCTCTTACACCTTTTCTGTCTGAAGTTCCTCATCAGATTTTAACTTGTGATGCTCAGAATGTCTGGAAAGGGGAAAGGAACGCTACTTGAGTCCTTGTTTCAGGTGTGCAGTTAGAACCTTAGCTCTTGTTGGGATTGTGATGAAATGAGAACAGACTCAACAACTCCACCTGCTGGGACTATGCGATCATAGTACGGTTAAGGCCTCTCAGCATCACAGAAAGACCATGGCTTCCCAGAGTCCTCTATGAGGAGAGACTGGGAATTTTGTGAGCTGTGGTTTAAACCTTTGACACCTGACGCCTCTGACATGCCTTCGGCCATAGTGGGCTGTACCCATGGAGACTCCCGAGTGCACATTCCGCCATAGAGGGCTGTACCCAGGGAGACTCCGAGTGCGCATTCAGCCATAGTGGGCTGTACCCAGGGAGACTCCGAGTGCGCATTCAGCCATAGTGGGCTGTACCCAGGGAGACTCCCGAGTGCGCATTCAGCCATAGTGGGCTGTACCCAGGGAGACTCCCGAGTGCTGGGAATAAGTGTTGGATTTTCTTCCACAGGTCTGGTTTTCCAGCACTGCTGTTTTACTCTGGACAATGGATTTGGCCAGAGAGAGAAACGGTGTTAATTTAGAGAATTTCAAAAGCTACCCATAGTCATTCAGTTCCCCTTAGGGAGAGAGAACCACCAGAGAGAAGAGGTGGGCCTATCTAATGTCTTTCTGTAAACAGCTGTGGCCATAAGCCAACCCTCTATAGTGAAGACAGGCCTGCCATCCCCTCACCTGGAGCTGGACTTTCCACCTGCCCAGGTGTAACATTTGTGGGCAAGGGGAAGTGGATGTTTCATATGTCCTGACCACAAGCCTCGAAGTGGGGCGTGTTGACTTGAACAGATGGCTCACTGCCCTGCCTGCGTTCCTGGCATTCCTAGAAAAGTTGTCTCAGAGGTGCAGGTGGAAGGATGGCCCAGGAAAAGCAAAGCCCAGCCTTTAATCCCAGCACTCGGGAGGCAGAGCAGGTGGATCTCTGTGAGTTCGAGGCCAGCCTGGTCTACAGAGCAAGTTACAGTACAGCCAAGGCTACACAGAGAAACCTTGTCTTGGAAAACGAAACAAAAGCAAAGCCCAAGCCTGACCTGTAGCACCCCCTCTCCCTATCGTGAAGAGAACCGGCAGCCCAGATCAGTGTCTGTCTGCTTCCCTTGATTTAGCCTGTCCTGTTCCACCCTCTTTAAATATGGCCCTAGTTGTCGGAAATATGGCTTGGTACCCTACATCCTGTTGACCTGGGTACAATTCTCTTCAGTTGAAGTGGTGGAGGTGACCCAGAGTCTTCCCAGGCAGGGAGAGCCCCTCATGGCATAGATGGTCCAGGACATGTTTCTGTTTCTTCTTCCCATGGTACAGCCCCACACTGTCTAGTGATGTTTCAGTGCCTAACAGACCACATGCAGTAGTGTAGAGTGTGGTAGTTGTCTGTACTATCTCCATGACATCACAGTGCGACAACCCTGCCTCCTGACCGCATCTCACAGATGTTTCCGTCACTGAGCACATGACGGCTTCTCCTTCCTTTTCCAGCCTGCCTTTTCACCTTGTCTCTGGATGGATCGGGACCCTTGACCTCCCTGGCTGTTGGTGACATCACCTCCTTGTTGTGTGCGAGTTTCTACAGAGGAGTTCACTTACTCAGAGTGGACTGCAGCCGAGAGCTGGAGCTGCAGGAAGTGGCAGCCTTCTGAGGCCAAGACACTGACTAGACAATATCAGACCATAGCCCCTCCTTTCTCTGTGGCTTTGTGTTTTTCCACATGATCTTGGGGAGTGGGGTGCAAGTCTGGTGTTCTTTTCTTAGGGTCACTTAGAAGGCATATCCGGGTTAGATGTTGGTTTAAGTCCAGTGATTACAAAGTCAGGGTGTGGCCCAGACTGGTCTTGAACTCATAGCAACCTTCTTGCCTCAGTCTCCTGACTGTTGGCATTAAAGGTGTGAGACTGCACTCAATATAAAGTTCTTAATCTCAAGGAAATCCAAATGGAATTTTTATCCAAATGTGAGGTTTTGGGACTACTCTTCAAATGAAATGTACTTATTGGTCAAGATGATGGCTGGGGCCTAAGAGTGGCAAGCCTCTGTGAGCACGAAAACGCAGGCTGGAGTCTCCATGAAGGACAATGTTTCGAGACAAATCAAGTTGGTAATAGTGTTGTTCCATAGAGGAAGTGGATGGCAGACAGTGAGATTAAACTCAGTCACCTCAAAGCCACTTAGGGTAAGAGAGCAACGGCGTCTAACTCCCTGGGCCCGTGCTGCCCAGGGGCACGCAAACAAGAACAAGGACACTGCCCCAATTACAGGGATTATTAAGCCTGCCCCATGTTCCAAAAGGCAGAGGGGATGGGAGACTAAGGCTAAGAAATATGCATCTGTAATTTGGGTATTTTTATTTATATAAGAAACACTGTACACCTCCATCTTCCCTACCTCCCACCCCTGGGAACGGCCAGAGGCAAAGGAGTCATCCCTGAAACAGAGCATGGAACAGGGAGAGATGGACTCAGCTGAGTCCAGCAACCGTGCACCCTTGAGTGAGGAGGGTCCAGGCCACTGTGCAGCTCCCACAAAACAACAGAAGTCCGTTTTGCTTTGGATGAGTCCTAGAATAAGGCACCCGAGGCCTGGCCAGAGAATGCCCACCTGTGTCACTGTGGATCATGCCTGTCCATGGTTCAGAGCTGGCTGCCATTTCCTCTCCCCCCTCCTGTTGTCCCCAGTGTCAGGGGGTTCCTCACATGTAATAAGGTACTCAGGACCTTCACAGGACCTGAGGGCAAGCTGCAAGGGAGTCACGCAGTCTTGTCTAGACTGAATGCTCCTTCACAATAAACATTTGCCTTCCCTCATCTGTCTTACTTTCTAATCTTTCAGCCTTTCAGTTCCCTGACTTTTGGATGGCAAGGGAGTATGGTGAGGGGGAGTTACTTCATTGAATACCTACAGTAGGCTAACTAGAGTCTCATTAAATGCCAAATGATGTTCCCATTTCACAGATGGGAAAGCCAAGGCCCAGAGACATGCAGCACTTTGACCACAGTTATAAGCATAGGAAGGGGAAAGACAGACTTGAAGCTGGGCAGTCCTCTGCCCCCTTTTGCCTTGGCTGTTTTAGACATTCATAGACCATGATGTTAGGGTTTTTTCTTTTTTTGGGTTTTTTGTTGTTGTTGTTGTTGTTGTTGTTATTTATCTAGTTCTGGAGATTAAACTTAGGATATCATTCCTGCTATGCCACTGAGCTATCCCCTAGCCCTGGATTGACTTCTGGCTCTAGTGGGCTCCTGGGGGCTGTAGACAGGTCACCTCTTAGGACAAGGAAACCCGAGTGTATGCTGGATGCATAGTGCTACCACTGACAGATTCTTCTGGACTGAGGCAGTAAGAAAGGAGTGGGTTGGGCGGGGTCCCCTGGTGAATTAGAAGATTCCGCACCAATATCGTCCCTTCCTGAACTCTGCCTGTGTGCTTGATGCCAGATTTCCGATCTGTGCCTGAGAAGCAGAAAGATGAGCAAATGCTCACATTTAAATAGCCTTTTAAAAGTTATTTTAGGTCCTAATTCTGATACTCTTGGTGTCTAAGATTCCAGGTGCTGAAGTCATGAACTCTTCATTTTAGAGGCCACCCTCTACATTCGTATAAGGGAATGTTCCAGATGGTTAACTTTTTTCTTCCCAGAAACGTCTTGTAAGCCCTTGGAATCTTGTCAATTATAGATTAAAATTTAAACACATTTATATATTAACATTTACCATTAGGATAAACATACACTAAGGAAAATGGGTGGCAATTATTAATGGTCTTCACGTAACCTAGGGTTAGCAGCAAAGTGCGGGACTCAGGTTACTTGGAGAGTGTAACCTCTCAGCACTGAGGAGTAGGACCTTGGCCATTCTGAGTGGTCCTTCAAAGCAGTTTCATCATAAGCACTAGAGTTGGCTGTGGTGGTAGGGGCCTGTGTCCCTGCATGTTGGAGGTAGAGCAGGGGTCAGGAGCTCAGGGTCATTGTCACCTACCTCACCAATACAGTGAGTTCAGGCCAAGCTTGCCACCTGCCCACCCCCCACCCCCACCCCACCCCCCCAATTACAAAGATTGCTAGTTGTTTGCCCAAAGTTGGCACATCCTGGCACGGGCTGGCCAGCTAATTCTACATTCCAGCCAGGTGTGCCGTGGGTATATCTGGGAAATTATGGTCATTGCACTCACCAATCAGCTTGAAACCAGGATGCCCCCCCCAGGCCCACCCCCCACTACCTCACTAGAGGAGTTTGGGGGTTTGATAAATGCTTCTGCAGCCCAGATGAGGTCAGAATGGTTAGGTGGCCAGGGCCCTGGGTCACCATGAGTTGAGCTGCTCTGCCTAGCAACACTGTTGCAGAAAGAGAAATGAGCCTCTTTAATCTTCTACATAACTATTTTACTAGGTTTAGTAACCATAAGGAATTTTGAGATGTGTGAGCTTAAATCTCTGATTTGTTATAAGTTGAAAATATTCTAGAAACCAAGACCTAGCAGCAGACAGGTTCAGGACAGGGGAACTAGTAGGTTGCGCTGTTCCACACCCACATTAAATTCTGCCCCCCCCTTTCCTATGTTTTGTAACTGTGGGCAAATTGCTGCATGTCGCGGGGCCTCAGCTTTCCTATCTGTGAAATGGGAACATCATTGGTGACTTTAATTTGACCCTCACAGCCCTCTACACTGCAGGAACGAGGTTGTATGTATGACATCACTGTGGGCCTCAGCTCAACACAGCCTGGTGCTAGTCCATGATCCGTGACTCTTGCTTTAAGACTATATTTGGGGTGTTTGTGGTGCTGCAAGAGACGCAGGTGAAGCAATCATGGACTGCCAGGCTGCCTTTGCTCGGCATTTTTGTGACATCGACACCATCCTTGTCTCTGTGCATGGAATTGGCACGTGTGTAGTTTTTAGTCTGGTACTCACATGACATATGCTTATGTCTGAAACATCCTCATAGCAGGTCTTTGGGTGTGCACATGCTTGTGTCTGTGCTGTGGGACAATGGCCAAATATATGGTGGCTTGGGAGAGAAAAGGAAAAGGAAAAAGTCCTTAAAAAAGAAAGAAAGAGAATAGTTGGGTGTGGTGGCACACACCTTTAATCCAAGCACTTGGGGAGCAGAGGCAGAGAGATCTCTGTGAGTTCAAGGACAACCAGTCTATAGAATGAGTGCCAGGAAAGGTCGGAGCGCTGGCTGAATGGAATGGAGTGCTACCTGCAGACCCGAGGTCGCCGGTTCGAGTCCCAGGTAAGTGAGTTTGTACTGTGTGTCTGTCTGTGCCTGTAACTGTGTCTGAATGTCTCTGTGCTGTGTGTGAGTGACGTGTGCATGCCTAATTAATCAGAAAAAAAAGAATGAGTGCCAGGATAGCCAAAGATACACAGACATCTAGTCTTAAAGAATCAAAAATTAAAAATAAAAGAAATAGAGTTTAAAATAAAGCCATGTAAAGATGGAAAATACACAGAAAATATGAATACTGTAGGTTATTGTGTTGTCTTTGAATGGTTTGATGGCTGAGGAAGAAGCAACAGCTGCTAAAAGACATTTGCTGCTGGATTAATACAACATACATATTTTGAAAATGATTTGACTTCAAAATTTAAATAAAAAGATATGTTACTTTGGAGAAGAGGTTTTGTTTTTGTTTCCACAGGAAATGACAGGCTGTAGTTTCATTCTGGGTTAAGAAAACTCAGGTTTGATCAAGGAAGATACCCTGAAGAATCTCCTATAGGAGCAGATGGTCCAAATGATCCAACATTGCAGAGGACCTCAGTTTGAGTTCCCTCTGAGTTCTGCATACAGAACAGTTTCAAGACTGCTGGCTGAGATGATCAAACCTCATAGAATACTCCAGTCAGGACTTGTCTGTAATTCTAAATTTTCTTTAGGTCCCCATAAGATTATCAGCTCCTGGCTTTTTGGGACCCTAGTCCATTTGGATGCACACCTTCCTAGGTCTGTATGGAGGGGGGAGGGCCTTGGACTTCCCATAGGGCAGGGAACCCTGCCCTCTCTTTTTTTTAATTTTATTTATTTATTATGTATACAACATTCTGTCTCCTTGTATGTCCACACGCCAGAGGAGGGCACCAGATCTCATTACAGATGGTTGTGAGCCACCATGTGGTTGCTGGGAATTGAACTCAGGACCTCTGGAAGAGCAGCCAGTACTCTTACCCTCTGAGCCATCTCTCCAGCCCCCTGCCCTTTCTTAAGGAAGGGGAGGGAGGAGGGTGAGTGGAGGAGCAGAAGGGGAATGGGAGGAGGGGATGAAGTGTAAAATTTTTTAATAGAAAAATTTAAAAAGTAACCACAAAAAAAAAAAGATTATCAGCTCCCCCAATCAGCAGGAAGTAGCATGGAAAACTACACCTACATTCTGCAAAAATGGACTATGAATATTTATCTTTGTTTAGAATGTTGGTTACAAGTTGTTATGGATAATAGAAAAAAAACTAAACAAAGGAGATTGGATTCAGAGTTGTTGTTTTGAAAAAAAGGGGGAAGTGCTGTGGGACAATGGCCTTGTGCCTTATCATTTATATTGTATTGTTTTGATAAAACACTGATTGGCCAGTAGCCAGGCAGGAAGTATAGGCAGGGTGACAAAAACAGGAGAATTCTGGGAAGAGGAGAGTCGCAGTCTGCAGTCATCACCCAAATGCAGAGGAAGCAAGATGAGAATGCCTCGCTGATAAAGGTACCAAGCCACGTGGCTGAATTATTGGCTAATGTAAGTTATAAGAGTTAATAAGAAGCCTGAGCTATCAGGCCAATCGGTTTATGATTAGTGTAGACCTCTGTGTGTTTCTTTGGGATTGAATGGCTGTGGGACCAAGCTGGACAGAAACCTCAGTCAACATGTTTGTGCCCACTCTGTAATGAGCAGAGACTTTGTTCAGTGATTGTAATTCATGCAGCCCGCTTTCATCGATACTGCCAGACATTCCTCCAAAGAACCTGTGCACTCTACTCTCGAGCACATAGCAGGAGAGTCTGCGTTCCGGCTCTTCACCTTTGCCCCCTCTCAGTGCTTTTGAACTCTGCATCCCTCCGTTATAAAAATAGAAGTGCTGATGCTGGAGAATGCACCCAGGCGTGAGTTCCAGGGGCCGCAAATAGAACTTGGCTGGCTTGACCATGTGCCCTTGTCCCTAAGACAGAGATCAGAATTTCACACTAAAGCCTGATGTGCACCTGGTGTTTTACACTCTCACCATCACAGCCACGTTTGCACCTTCCAAAAAAAGGCTCTGATGGTGGGAGGTTACTCTCTCCCTTCTACAGAAGCGTGGCCCGTCCATGTGGTAGGAACACATGAGCTCAGGTCTTGGATGCTTGGGCTGGTTCTTCCTGGCAAGGTCCTCTCCTTTTAGTGTTTTTTTTTTTTTATGGTGGTAGTCAGCCTGAAGGCTGAAGGGGCTGGGGACAGGTAGGAAGTGTTTGTGTCTGTGGAGGTAAGTGACATTAAGTCTAAACACTACACAAGAACACTCAATTCATTCCAGTGTTCTCTCTTCCAGATCTGGAGCACAGCCACCTGTCTCTTCTAAGTCCTGCACACAGATGGTTGAAAGTGCAGCCTTGTAGGCAGTGATGGGGCACACCTTTAATCCCAGCAGAGGAGGCAGAGGCGTGGGAGTCTCTATGAGTTCAAGGCCAGCCTGGTCTATGTGGTGAACTTCAGGACAGCAGAGACTGTAGAAATCCTGTCTCAAAAAAAGCTAAAGAAAAATCTTTAAAATATATTGGCCATGGTTTATCTGGGTATGGAATTAAGTTAAGTGCACGTGCTCTCTTCTGCCCTGACTA